ACTATTAAAAGAGATAATTTACGAGATACCCTTATGAATCAAACTCATACTACTCGCAAGTAATTAATTGACGGTGGCGTGAAATTATCGCAAAACAGTCTTTCTCTGAGAGAAATAACAACAAAACCATATCTAAGAAAGTTATGAGTAATAGAAAAATCCAAAGTATACATTCATTCATGTGGACAAAATTCGTCAAATTAGGCTTTCAGCTTCATTGTGGATTGTTTGATAACTTGGAGAAAGCTTTTTATCATGCAAAAATATATTCAAATAACTAAACAACACACTGGAGATCAAGAATTTAGTTCCGATGCAACAAAAATAGACTTAGCATTGTTTTGAATTACTGACAAATAAAAATATTTCTCTGTTACAGTTTAATACCCTTTCAACTTGGGTGAATTTATTTTATAGCCCAATTTTATTATACTATAATATTTAATAGCTTCGAATCAAAGGTTACTAGGCGTCAAAGACTAAGCATTCCTTATATGATTGAGTGAAGAAAAATCTCTTTGTACTTCAGCTTGTGATACAGGGGTTGGACAAGAATTAATTACTAGCCATCAAACACGTACTAAAACATACAATTTAGGGATAACAGAAAATAAGAAAATAAAAATAAAAAAGTGTGCAGAGTTGCAATTTTAAATCCCGCAATTACTGTGAACTGAATGGTTAAAGCAGATTTTTTGTACGGAAAAGAAAAGCATTCGCTTTACAGAATCTAAAGTTTCTCTTTACTATTTGGGTCCTGAAAGAAGGTTTCAGTAGCGATGGTGTCTCCTTTTTGAGAAGAGGATTGGATGCTTGGCTTACGTCTAACCATCCCTCTTTTCCGACTAAGTGTAGTTTCGGAGTGCGTCAGTCTGAAAATGAACCCAAACCTCCCGCATAGCTAAACAGTGAAATACCATGGATTAATCGGAAAATATAATTTGTGAACATCCGAAGACGTAGTTAACACAATCACGATATAAACTGAAATCTGTCTAGTTGGCTTTAGCTTTTTCACACTAATTAATCATTCTATGGTCACTACATTGTTTCTGTTTAATTGAAGATTTCAATGATCAGTGGACAAGGAAAGTCAGGCAAAGCCACATATGACTCCGAAACCTGTTATAGTACCTTAGCCAACCTACCTGATAATTCGGAGTGAATGCCTATGAACACCTCTGTTAGTCCATATAAGCATCTTCTGTTTTCCAAGATCAGTGAGCACTATAGGCTCTACTGTTCTGATTTAATAAGACTGTGTGAACAGATATACAGGGTCTGTCTCTGTCCGTCTGGATTCAACATAGAACTTGGCACCGAAGTGCACCAGTTCGAGTTGCCACGTTCCAAATAGCACACAGAGGTAGACAAGAAGATGAGTTAAGAGAATTAATAGAGTTTGACAAATATAAGAGTGAAGCAGAATGGGTAATGGTAGAAAGGAATATGAAAGATTACAGAGACTGAATACATCTGCGCCATTGACAACGATTTTGAGCCATGTCACCTATTGTCTCCAGCCATTAATTCCTAGAGTCCCGAGGACCCCAACCCGGGAGTCTGCATCTCCCTACCTGACTCAGTTTAACTGTCAAGAATTTCATGCATTGATGCCATGTTTTTGTTTGACCACCACTGGCTCTTTTCCAATCTGCACCTATATCAGCTAGTAATGCCCGTCGGGGGAGGCGATGGTTAGGCATGCGCAGCATGTGACTTAGCCATCTCAATCTATGTAACTTTATAGCCTCATTGACTGATTTTCCCTATTTGCCCAACACTCTACGCCTAACGTCAACATTACTTACCTTATTAAACCACCTACCGTGAGAAAGAGATCGCAGACATCTATGATCGATACAGGGTAACTAAAATGTAGTTGGTTGATTACTCTGATGCAGTATGCCATAACATAATTTTTACCAAGAATCAAAATCCTCTTCCATCAGGTCCTCCTCATTTCACTTGTTCCCACTGGATAAAAATTTAACACGACGCAAATCTAGAATCTTCTCATCAGATAACATACATAAACTTCAAACACGCTATCAGCCAGAAATCAATGAATACATAAGCCATTAAAATTATGAATTCAAATAAATTCTGTACAATATAATTCCGAGAATTTTCAACACGATATATACAAGGTTGATAATAAAAGATTATCTAAATCTATCTGTCACAAGAGTATATTTCTACTGAAGTAGCAATCTGAGAGTCATCGGTTCAGCAGTAGGATGATTGCTAACTGAACACGTGACCCGGAGTTCGTTCGCTGACTGTTGCACTCATAGGCCTCGCTTAGGCGTGGTGGTAACACCAGTGAGAAGGTTACACGTAAGGCTAGCAACTACTCCCACGCTGCTGCTGAAACTTCAAAGCTCAACCCTTGCAGCTCTACCTTCCACTCGGAAAGCAAAGGAATAAAATTTCTACAGGTTGGCTGCAGTAAAACGATAAACGATCTAGTTCGTTATTCCGATATATTTGTTTAAAAATGGTTTTTTGTTTATAGAAATTTTAAAAATACCAACTTCTGCCGAAATGGTTGTTTTAAAAACTACCTACTTTATTAACGCTAAGATTAATAGCTTCTCATTGGTAAGACGATGACTTTGTATTAAGAGTAAACTAATCATAAAGATTTGTGTCACTGGTTCAATCGCAGAATGCTCACCCAACACACAGGAGGTCTGGGTTTGGTTCCCGGCTGCCGTACTACCAAAACATATGGGGTTTAGTAGTCGACAGGAACTCGGAAAAGAGGTAACGACCCTTATAGCAGAATGACAACGTCACCGCTACTAAAACTTCACTGAGAAGAAAGCGAAAGACGAAAAAAATCATAAGGATAGCATACGAACCATACATTGTTACTTCTTATGTATCACATTAAATAAAGAGGGTTATAGAAGCAGGTTGCATGATTAGATTTCTTATCTTCGCAGATATAAGGTATATGATTTAAGGAAAGAAGTTGGCGACAAGATTTAAATCATAATTTGTGCTAATCCTCTGTTACATGTCTAGGCGTTTCTAAATCTATTACACGAGGAGAGTATACAACAAGTGAGGAGTTATATCTGTTGCACAGAATACACCTAAAACAGCCGCAAAGCTGTTTAGTGACATATTGTACATCAAATTTATTTTAAAAATAATAAATAGGTCAAAGATTTTATATAATATAACCCTAAATGTGCACTATAATAGCGTGACCCACATATATCTCTAATAGAAAAACACACTTTTAAACTGATGTTTACACTTACAAGGGCAGAGAAAATGTCCTTTATCTGGTCAGATAATGAGCCATATTATTGTGTATAGCTCTGAACAGTCATCTACATATACAACCATATCAACTGTAAGGTCATATTTAACAACTGCCACCTATTGATTTCACATCACGGAGTTAAAACACCTACGCACGCACACATATATAAATATACACACACACGAAATAAAGTATTATCGTTATCATCAATATTGTCATGTGACTATGGAATATTTACAAATAGGCATTTTTGTTCTCCGAAAGTGTATTGACACTAAGCAGCAAAATTCATACATTTTTTTCTTGGGAAAGATATTTTCCATAAACATAGGTATACAGTATGCCACATAAGAATGACGAAAATTCGGGTTGATAATGTATACACAGTGAAAAATCCGGATTCTGTTATTTCTTTCGATGTATATACAATTTTATAAACTTGGCAGTTTTAAAAGGTGGAAAAGAAAGTCATTTGGTTACTAAGACATCAGGGAGTGAAAATTAACAAGTCGTGGTAATAAGCTGTAAAGTGGTAAAATTGTTTTGATTTCTTCCACTTCATACATCCCAAATGGAATATAGGGCTCCAAGCTTCCAAACTTGAAGCTTCAGTAGCCATGGTGCTTTTGCGGAGTAGGGTTGCCAGTCTTGCGTCTAACCTTACCCTTTTTCCAGACTCCCTACCACCACCAGCTAGGCAAGGTTTAGATGTGCGTCAGCCAGTAAGACTGGCAAGAATTCTATCAATGAATCACTGAAACACTAATTAGTGAATAGTTAGACGGTTTTATTAAATATAGGTGTTAAGGATGACAGCTAATAACTAATACTTTAAAGTGGGGGAATATTCATGCTAAACAAAAACCAAACTGAAGCGAAATGCATTTCGGATGTAGATCATATAGCAGCTTAGTTAAAAGCTGAAAGAACGAAAATTCACTAAGAGCTAACATTCGGGTGATCACTTTACAAATGCAGCCTATGAAGGATAGTGACACTAGAACGCGTGACACTTGTCAAGGTTTAGAAGCACTGTAATAAATTTAAAACGAAGAAGGGAAAGGGACCAATAGAACTATTTGCAGAGGAAAGTCTTACATTATTAATCAGATTGTCTAAGTATGGAAGACAAGTATAACCTCTTTTGAGTGTTTTCAATCTATAAATGTCCCATAAAAATCTTATTCCAGTGACCCAGTTGAATTAGACAGGTTTAATCATAAGTGATTTGTTTAAATCCTAACCTCTTAGATTACGAAAAAATGTAATCCCATAGACCCTTGAAACCAACCGTATCTTCTATATCTGTGGGCAATAATTTACTGATTCCATCAATTTAGAAGCATTACCTTAATGAAGTGCGTAAAGTTGTGATTTTACAGAGAACTCTCACTCAGACACTCATATCAAATGGTTTCACTATAGATATCCTCTGTCACCTTATCAATTAACTTTCCGCATTCTACTGGAGATTCTTTTGCTGATTTAGAGAATGCAGGTGACTTCAAATATGTAGGGAGGTGAAAGGAGAAATGTGAAATGATTGAAACAATTCTGAAATGAAGATTAACAACACTTAACCTAAAGCCAGAGATTCTAAAATGATATGAAATACAGTTTACGGAAATATTGTGTCATACAAAAACAAACATGCAACTAAACAATCAAATAAATCAATTAACTTGCTAAAGAATCTAGTACTAAATAGACAAAAACTCACCTATCTTGACTGAATAAGTTAGATTCGCCCAAAGGTGAATAGCCTCCTGCTTTTGATGTCGTTGTAGTATTTGTAGTTCTGGCTGCTTCCGTTGTTGTACTACTAGTAGTAGTCATTGTTATACCAGAGGAAATTGAATGCGTTTGCGATGATGGACAAGTGAGAGATTCTGACTCCCCAGTCGTCCTGCTGGCAGCGGACAGTGGTGACACAGCTGACGGTCCATTACTACAGTCTGTGTCATACATAATTCCAGTATTAGCTGTGCTCGAAGAAATAATATTACTAATAGCAATTCCAGTTGTGGTAACAGTATTGGAGTGTGAGGTAGAACCACTGTTGTATACTTCCTTTTCAAAAGATCTTGAATACACACTAGAAGAGCAACTAGATGGAGTTATTTGTTTTCCACAGTCCGATTCAAAGTTGTTGTTGTTACTGTTATGATTCGGTGTTGTTATAACACTGTAAGACGAACGTCCGCGACGACTACGGCCACCTCTCATACGGTCTTCACGAACAGCTGGAAAATTGGAATAGAAATAAGGTCGGAGGGAATAAGAATAAAGAAGAGTATTGTTGGGAGGAAAATATGGATAAAATGGTGGTTTAAAAAACTCTATGGCAATGACATGTAAGATGAATTAAATGGGTGATAATGGTAAGAAAGTGGTTGAAAAAAAATCATTATTATTATTATTGAATGCAATTGGAATATTCACTATCAATTCCATCGTTATTAAGCAGCAGGCACGACCCTCAAAATTTTCAACACTCGACAACATAATACTGAATTCATCGTAATTTATACCATTGTTTTCAAAAAAACGAAAATCCATAAGACCATTAATATTGGTCTTCTATTACTATTATAAACGCTAACTGAAACAGTTGCTTATGTTTAACTGGTAGACGATTATACCGGTGTATTAATGTCATTTATTAAAATTAACTCCCGCAGAAGCAGATACGTGTGTATAGTCTGATGGCTTCATACATTTACTGCCTAATATACTGATGGACTGTCTGATGTACTTAGACCACCATTCCTTATGAATAATTGAGTATTTGTACATAGTTTCCTCATTTGTAGGCTTGTTAATAAAAAGAGTTGACGAACAAGGAAATAGAAACGAGAGATTATATGTACAAAAGACAGACATCATTTTCTAACTCATTTGCTAACATTTTCACCCCTTAGGAGAAAATTCTGTTGTCTGTGTTATACTAACTGTTAAAATAAATTGAAACACTTAATCTTCCCATTATTATTTTGACTAAAATTGAGCCACAAGAAACGAAAAATAACTAACCTAAAGAGTACCATAATTATTATTTCCATTTCAAGTATGAGGCTGCACAAGTTCGATTACTGATCCACAAGTCATGATACACATACACAATGACTGAAGAATACAGACCTATGGTCCTTTTTTACAATGCATTCCCTTCACCAACTACTCACAGCAGACCGATCAAAACAAAGTAATTTATCTATTGTATGTTATATACTGGAATACAAAAATAATTAAATTAACCTTCGAATATCTCATTTTTTAAAAATCAATCGACTTCATAGAATTTTTAATCACAAATTTATAGCATCTTGAGAATTATAAAATCCGAGGAACAATGGACAAATATTTCGTTCTAGGTTGAAACATTTGTGTAGTGTGAAACTATGAACTCAATTTGGTTGCCATACAAGACCGCAAGTTCAATCGCTCAGTGTGACTCCCGCCTAATGCTATCAGTTGGCGGCATTCACCAACACAGCAAATCACTTCCTGAATGTCACTGTTAATTTTCATATAAAAACCCAACACATCTGTGCATACATAATCAAATTGAATTTTTGACTTTTTAAACAACATATTAATTAGTTGAGAGTAGACAAAAAAAGAAAACTAAAGTGCTTTTTGAGGGAAGAAGGATAATATCGATTACCGGGCATACAATGAAATATGATTTGATTTAACTCATTCAGTTTATTCCGCTGTCGAGTAAGTAGTATAAACTAATAAATAAGGGAAAAAGTGGGAACAAAACACAGTTATAGAAATGTAGGAAGAGAGGGATAGGAAGAAGGTTAGCGATAATCGATCTCATCCATTTTCCCCTTAAATTTAACTAGGGTTGACGCCCATAAAAAATAGACCCAATTACAAGGCATTTCTATGATACAGCAAGGTTATGTAATCAGGTTAGCATTTTGGTACACCTAAGTAATATGGTCGTTATGACAACAAAGTAAAGCAGAAGAGTACACAAGCAGATGGTCGTAACCACTTAGCAGTATGTAGTACCTTTATATTTAAGATCACCAATACTGATTTCGCTGTTAGCGATTAATCGATACACAAATAAAGAAAAGTATAGTTTATGTAGTATAATCTTCCGACACCGTTTTTTTTCCTTCACGTTCCCAGTGGAACATAGGGTTTCAAGCCTGTGGCTTCAAGTTTCTGTAGCAGTGTTTATTTTTTTTTTACAGGATGGGGTTGCTGGCCTCATGCCCAACCTTTCCTCTCTACCAGAATTATTTCTGGCTTAGCGAGGTAAAGGAGTGAGTAGGCCGGGGATCGAACCTCGGACCATGTGCATGGTCGGCGAGCGTCCTAACCGCTGTGCCACCGACGCACTCCAAAACCATAGCAACTAGATATTTCTCAAGTAATAGGTTTCAGTCATTCTGAAGTGTTCACACCTGTATACACTCGATAAGCCTCATTTACTTCTTCCATCTAAAACAAACAAATAACTTGTAAGTGGTAACTTAAATTTCTGTAGTGAGTTTAGAAACCAATTCACTTGAATAATACTAGACTTATCAACATAGAATGATGTGTTAAAATACACTTCTTCCATTTCGACTACGATTTGTTAGTCATATGACACAATGAATGTGTACATTACCCCGCCAAAGCAGTGAATATGTTATGAAGTTGCTTCTGTAGGCTACTACCGTTGCCAGAAACATAAGTATGTTAAAGGTATGTATGGAAACCTGGTAAGCATTAGTGACGATGATTTCACAATACGACTTGGAAAAATCTTAAGAATTGTAAGTAGTAATTACCAGTCAATGAGCTTTACTCGTTTAAGAATCCTAATGATAAGATTCAAATTTATATACAACTATGGATAATATCATCTATTTACCGAAATTCACAAAGAAGTGATTGAATATTTCTACACCTTAAACAGTTTTCATTGCCGTTCCCTTTTTTCTATTTTACTTGCTGACCTTATTCGATAGACAATAAGCTTGAGTACCACCAGGGGGAATGAGTGGGATCAGTTTTGATAATTAAACACAATATGTAGGAAACTGAACTCATTAGATGAATTTCCCCACAAAAGACAAATGGGATATACTAACAAGAACATCTAATAGAAAGGTTAAAATAAATACTGATATCGAAGGATATTCATATACATGTAATCAGATGCTTAGGCTTTTAAAGAAGAAAGATCGAGCAAAAATAATACTACCGCTACATCTAAACCACGTTACCGCCGATGTAACATGATTATTGGTTAATGTCCAATGATGATAAACTTGTCAATCGGAAACCACCCCAATATGTAACTTACATCAAATGTCAGTGGGTTTATGAATTAGTGATAGTCTTATCAACAACTTAAATGCAATTCAATGGAAACCTTGGTTCAATATGAGTGGAACATGTCGCAGCCAACTCAACTGATGTAAACTGTATGGAATTAGCTAACGTCGATATATATATATATATATATATATATATATATATATATGCATGTGCACTAATGTGCTGACAAAATTATGGAAATACGGAAAACTGTGGTGAAAATACATGCAGAAAAAAATGCACAATGCTGAAAATCAAATAATTTCAACTTAATTAAGATATTACATAGGGTCTACTGTAAGAGATTTTCCTTTCTCTTACTATATCGAAGTTTGCGGCACTTGTAAACGATCTCTATTTTTCCATAATGATGACTTCTGAATAATTGCTTTGGCATATTCTCAAGCCACTTCCGAAACCAACTAAATGACTTTTCTTATTTGCACGAAACCATGTACCAAAAGAATGCTCATCAATTGCCGATTCTACTACACATTAATAATATTCCTACATTTTTCTCATACACACAGCCACCAGTAGCTACGTCTTGAACATGTATAGATATTACCACTTTTGTTGCGTCACGCAAACACGTCATTGCAGAACCTTAGTCCAATGTACCATGATTTGGCGGAAAAATTAATGACATTATAACAAACATAAAACTGTATGAAACAAGAGAAGTTAGTCGGGTGGTGATCAACAAAGATGTTTTAAAAATGACAAAGATTGAACCTATGTGTACCTTTTTAATTAATTTTGAACCACGTCAGTCTATGAAATCAAGAATACATTTAATGATAAAAAACGATGTTTTACACACATCTTACCGGTCAAATTTACAGTGGGAAGACATGGTAAACCTGCCTTAATTCTTAACTTATGCATAAGGCATAATTAGTACATAAAATTTCTGTACCATATGAGTCGTGCTAAAATGTTTTGATCCACACAACCATTGAACAATAAAAGCGAAAGACGAAATTTCAAAAAATTCAGTTAAATAAAGAAAAGGAACATATAAGTGGAAAGCACATCAATCTTACCTTCAACTTTCATACCAACATTCAAACACTTTTGAAATCTACAATAAGCACATCTTTTCCTATGTTGACGATCAACAACACATCTGCCTTTTTCATTACAGTGATATTCCTTTTTATTTTGTACAGTACGCTTGAAGAACCCTAATGTGATAAAAAGGAGGAAGAAATATGTTAGTGAATGGTAAGGAAAATTAAAACACTATTTACCTTTACAAGATTCACATGTTGGTAGGCCATAGTGATACCCAGATACTTTGTCGCCACATATGGGACAATTTTCACAAAGTAACAATGAGGATGGCGAAGAAAGATCTGTAATACTCGAGGAAAATGAGGTATTTTTGTTATTGTTAGTAGAATGCAACAAATAATTATTGATGCTGTTAGGACTGTTGTGATGAATGCTATTTAAAAGATCCTGAGTTGCATGATCAGACGAATCGATGCATAAGGAATCATCCATAATCACATTATTGCTATTTTGACTGGTTGTAAGTTGTAATGTTTGAGCGTGTTCAACGATAGACAATAATTTAACAGAAGGCGGTGTCGATGTGTCCGAAATAGTCGACGGTGCATTAAACATCTTTTTAAATGGAATAAAATGTCCAAGAAGAAAAGGATTAAAAGAAGTTAAACAATCCCATTGAGCATGTTGATGACTGCAGGAAGATAATTGAAGAAAACTATTTTTTAGCTTCTAAATAAATTCTGCTTAAGTCATCAGTAGCTGAAACGTGAAGTTTAAAAATAAAGAAGAAAATCACACGACAGATCCCTGAGATAGAAAAATGTTGCATCCAAACCTATATGAAAAAAACGGGGAACACTGATATAGTAAAGCAAACAAAAATACACATAAATAAACAATGCTTCTCAATATAAAGAATAAAAACATGGATAAAAAACTGCACACACGAGTGGGACCTCTAACAACACTAAGAAAAACCGTCAGAAAATACAATAGAAGTACCTTCCTGAACACCAGTAAATGCTGTGCACAAAATAAAATAAGAAAGTGCGATAATGGATGGCAACGACGATTGAATAATTAAATGCGCCCAGATTAGTGCATTCCACTTTGCCTTAAATGCATATTAAGCTTATGTAGTAGAGATTTTAACTAATAAATATACTCATTGAAAACATGAGTGCATTATATTTTGCTCAGAATAAGAATATGACATAGTACAAGAGTTATAGTTATTATTAAGATGGAGAGTCAGCCTAACGAATTATTATCAGAACTTAAGCTTAGGTCACCCACTATTCCTTATCTTGAAATCCCGTCTGTTACATCCCCAGCAGCATACACAACTTTTCGACTACTTTCAATGGGCTATCTGTGAAGCGTAGTACGAACATACGCTCCTGCTTAATTTATGAAAGCATTACGGACTCTGGGGTTGAAAAGTATATCTTAAAAAATCAAAACCTAGAAAAAAATTATGTAGGATCCAAGTAATTAATCGTTCACCTAAGCAAAATCCTCACACCGGATAGTTCTTACCGATAGCTAACATATGCCGACAGTTATGTAAATATGAAAGCAGCAGGAACATATTTGGTGGACGGCCTAAAGCTGCTAATAAAGAAACCTTTTACACAATAAGCTGAAGATACAAGCACACGCTATAGATGCTTCCCAGTTATTTTCTGGTCTTTTATTTCCCTTTTCAACAGTAAGTGCGCAGTTCACTTGGCTTGTTCCTAAAGCTTCATGAAAATTTTAAATTGACCAGTGTGAGACAGCTTGGTCTTATTGATCTATCAACACAAAAGCAGTTGCTCTAACACAGTAGCATTGAAAATAAGTGTTTAGTTAGAGAACCCGGGTCTCCAATACTACAGACAGGTTACGTGAAATAACATTGGCAACCCATATGGAAAAGGCAACTATTCCGGCAGGCATGAACCAAAATGTGAAATCAACTTAGAAAGTGTAGAACTCCGCATTCTTACTAACAAAGCCGCTTACCACAGGGCTAAAACCCATTGTACGTACATTGTTCAATCCTGTCCAGATTTCATTATATCTACACACATCAAGACCTCTGCTGATTCACGTATAACTAGGTCGCTTCACATCTCATATTTATCGAAATACCTCGAAATGAGTTGATTTCTATTTTTTGAATTGAATATAGTGCACTACATAAGGAACCCAGCTAGCATTTTTTTCAGGCTCATTGCAGACTTTTTGGGGCAGACTTCGGGCGCGTTGCAGACCTTTTAGGGCAGACTTCGAGACACTGTCCTGCGTAAGTAGATCTATCCGAAGATTTTGCCCCAAAATGTCTGCAATGCGCCCGAAAAAAAATGCTAGCCGGGGAAATGGACGAGTGACTAAAAATTTGATAAAAGATCACTATTTTCGCTTAACTTTGTGCTAAGAATTTAAACCTAATTTCAAGTAGTCGATGATGACACTAAACCGAATGAGTACAATATATAATCTTGACACTAGATAAACGAAATTAATAAGATGCAGCAAATGTTGTTATCAAATTAATTGTCAGTAGAACTCAAATAAAGTGCGTTTACTAAACTACTAAAACTCAAACCTGAGAATTATTAAAATGTGCATACACTAATAACCTCACATGTTAATCTACTTGCACAACCTTTTAAGATCCCTGTTGCGGCATTTTCGGAAAGGCCTCCAACAAATGAAGTGTAATTGTTCAATGAAACCCACTGACATTACTGTTTCGAGATGAATAGCACAATATCTCAGAGTTGTTGAAATCCGCGTGGATAAATTCAACTGAAATGCCGAGATATCATCTGAAGTTCAAATTAACTAAGAGCAACATAAAGTTGGTAGATACATGAATGCCAGCAAGAGACGTTTTACAGATGCTGACGTGAGAGAATGCCCAGATGTAACCGCCTTTTTAGTGCTTATTTAGATACTTAACATATCTGTATAGACTTCTTTATGGTTTTCTGTTTTAATTTGCTTTTGGTAACAAAACGAACAGTCTACAGGGAAGAATATGTACTTTGATTTGATGGTGTTAGTTGGTTGGAGGTAATCGGCAGGAAGCCTTGGACCTAGGTTTCGTCCAAGGCTTCCTGCCGATTACCTCCAACCAACTAACACCATCAAATCAATGTGCACCGTGATGGTCAGCTAGCTAGAATGGTGGTCACATTACAACCTGACTGATAGAATTCAGTCTACACCAATCAGAGGACTAGACGCATCACACTAGTTACTAGTGTCAAATCAGAATATGTACTTCCCAAAATCACATATATCGACTAACCAGCTTCTCTAAGACAAAGTGTAGTGGTAGATAATTCCCCAAAATTATTGATCATAAGAATAAATTATGTCTAAGAGAAGAATTACATCGTGATCATAGGAATTATCAGTGAACATTGGATGCTGACACTTAGAGTTTAAGTCAACATGTTTAGCTAAAGGCTTCCGGTCAAGCATCCTCGCCATTTGATACTCCGTCGTGTCACTTTCGTGCACGATAGCTACCCAGCTTAGCTTCGGCTTCAGTCCGCGGTTTGGTTCCGAAATATATCTTGTAATTTGGACAATCAATTGTGTTGTTTTGCTTTACCTTTGGTCCACGGGGAACGAATACTATAGAAGTTGTTGGTATTGGATCTTGTGTTAGTATACTCTGTACAATTCGCGAACGTCAATACCGTCAGCCTGTTAACTGGTGAGCCCAACCGAGAACTTCATCTACGATATATACGCAGATAAACGCAGTGAGTTCTTTCCATTTTGTATTTGTTCTTGTACTGTATTATAATCGGCATACATTTCTTCATGAGTGATCATAGTCCCAAAGACATTCGTATTCACACAACTGCCAAAACCATTCAACTCGTACCATGCTGATCAGATAATGCTGAAACGTGGTTTCAGATAGCTGAGTCCGATTTTTGTGAGCATGAGATAACCGATCAACGTTCACGCCTAACCGCGGGAGTTCAGCAAGTGTGTAACTGTGCAGATGCCAATTCCCAAGGTAAGTAACTCGTACGAGTTGCTCAAAGCATCACTCGCAAAGTAAAACGTTCTCACGGATCGACAACGTCTGGGCGAATTATTTCGTGACATCAAGTTAGGGGATCAGTCAGCCGTAAGCATGCTGATAAGAATGAGAGAGGTTATAGGCCAAATTCAGTTCGATGAAGGACTTTTCAGAGGACTCTTCTTATCCAAGATGCCATAGTCAGTACCGATTGTACTTCTGACACTTCAGGGATGACTTAGCTATTTTTGTAGATAAGATTCTAGAAATAACTAAATGACAAGTTGATGAAATATGCTCGGTGGTCAAACAGACTTCCAGTAAGGATACTGCAGTGATAGAATTATGCAACTCCAACAAGCAGATGCTTAGGTCAAACATGCCTTGTAAGTCCTCCTACCATCGTCCGAACTCCCCACAACGGCGAAACTCACATGGTCGATCTAAGTCCAAGCGACGTTCTCTGAAAAACCCTGACTGGTGCTGGTATCACAACACCTATTGCCAGGGAGTGAAATGTTGCCGAAAACCTTGTAATTTCGGAAATGTCTCAAAGTCTGTGGGAAACCACTTCGCCGACACGCGTTAGCCGCAACCATCGCCGGTGGTACTGGCCGCCTACTTTACATTCATGATATGATCAGCCATATTCAATATTTAGTTGACACAGGCGCCGAAGTTAGCGTCCTTCCTGCTACAGCAGCAGATGGACGGAAGGAACCTACCTTCAACTTACAGGCTGGAAATGGAAAACCAATCGCAACTTTTGGTAGGAAATACGTCTATCTGAACGTAGGTTTACGCAAACATATTCAGTGGATTTTCCTTCTCACTGACGTCACAAAGCCCATCATTGGCACGGACCTACTTAATCATGATGATTTACTCGTAGATGTCCGCCGGAAACGACTGATTGAGAATACTACTAGTCTCTCAAAGGCATCAACTACATAGGACCCAGCTGGTCACTCGTTAAGATGAAAGCAATTCTTGATCCAACCATTCAACCGATCGTTGATAAATATCCGGAAATTAACTGCCTGTCTAACGACCTAACATGCATAAACAGAAATGATATCGACCACATCATAACACCAAGGCAGCCCGTGACATCCACATTTACTATGAGGCGGCATAATACCGAATATAACTATATCCGTATTACGGGTGCACATCCACATGGACTCAGTCACCTTAATTTCCCGCAAAGTCTGTTTAGGGATCCACCCAGTAAATGCTACTATCCCTCAGACACACTTCCCGACACCAGGACCGGTTTTATAACTCTTCAATTAGTCAATATCCTCACCATTTTCTCGCTTTACCGCACCCGGAAGAAATTTCACCAATCAACCTGATGTCGGACAGTGTTTCCTTATCCTCAAGTCTGTGCTCTTCAGACACCCAGAATACCCCAGTTTCCGCATGTCTATATCCATGCGATCGGGAACTGAGCGATCAGCCGTGGACACCTCCCTTTTCGCAGAACCTTAAAGAAAACGATGAAGGCCTTACGCACCGAACACTCGATGTACCGGTCAATCTGTTATCTAGTTTTCATTCAACCTTAGCAGAATCACAACATCATCTTCATTTTGCTCAGCCCTCACTGCTGATCTAAGATCTTTTACTCTTTTCCTCATAAACGTTCGTTTTATCTGTAATAAAATTCCGTATCTTCACTACTTGCCTTCACTTTGTATGCCTTCAGTATTGTTAATTACCGAGACCTGGCTACCATCTGACTTCAATGACAGACTGTTTAAATCCACAGGATACACACGCTTTAGATATGGCAGAAAAGAAGGACGTGGTGGTGGTTGTCTTGTCTTTGTTAGTAATAAATTCAACGCTGTAGAAGTTGATGATTTGGGTTGCCCACTGACAGACGCGGTATGGGTTACACTCGACACTAACCTAAATAAAAGACTTTCATTGGGACGTATATACCGCCCACCCAATTCTGAAACCAACACAACGAACCATATATTTGAAATTCTCGAACACGTCTCCACTCTAAACTATGACTATAAAATTATAGCTGGTAACTTTAACACGTCTGGTATCCAGTGGAATAGCCTTAATGTTGCTACATACCCTAATCGTTTATAAATTCGGTTGAATTCTATGGATGGACACAAAATGTTAATCACCTCACACATAAATCCAAAATCCCGGATCTTATTTTCACACACAATATTCTCCACGTCAGCACTAGAGTTGGGCCTTTATTCCCTGTTATCGACCACAACACGGTTATTTCTACCTTCAACCTAGCAGCAAGTGTGTCAGCTAAAGACCTTCACCGGACAATAAAGTCAGAGACTTTTCAAAGGCTAAGCATAAAACAGCGGTGCCTTTTATTCATTGCCAAGACTGTGATACTTTTTTCTCCTCAGCAGAAATCGATACTGTTCTTTTCAGTTTCCACTCCAACATATCAATTTATTTCGGCGAGTCTATCCGTCGATATCAATCCGAACGTAAATGTGTAACTCGATTATGCATACGGAATGCTAGCAGCAACAAACTAAGAAGACTCCGTAAAAGTTATAATAAATCTGTGAATTTCTATCAGCTCGTTTGTATCCTTAAAGTAATAGACAAAATCAGATCAGATTATGCCAATAAAACTCACAAGTAAGAACTCGTTGCCCTCAAGAGTAGTTTCAAGATCAGTTCATTTCGCAAACTATTCAAAAAAAGACTGCCACAAAACAAGGTAACATTGCTTACATTCTTCATAATAATGTTGCTGTTAAGGATGATGCGGACATAACTGAACCCTTCGGCAGGCACTTTTCTGATTCGTACGTACTCCACATTTCTGCATGTATCGAATTTGACTCCGTAACAGACAAATCACCGTCAAATATATATACTTGACAGTTGATGTTATAAAAAGTGCAATCATTTCACTGAAATTCTTCAATAATCCTGTACCTGACTCAATTCCCTCATCTTTCCGAAAAATTGTTGCCCTGATCTCCCTCTTCTTTTGCTTAGAACATTTTTGACGTCCCTTATGAATGGAGTTTATCCTTCCTAATGGAAGCAGACATGTAGGGTGAGGACAAACGCTATTGCGTTTCGAATTTGCTTTGCTTCTGGTTTTCTCGTCTTTCATTGGCTAGAACAGTAGCGGTCAGTTAGATCTTTGATTTGCCGTAGGTAGTGTAAGGCATGCTAAGTTCGGCTGTTTTCCAATGTTTAGACTGTGCTTGTCTAACTTTAGGTTGGCTACGTAGCGTGCAGGGGTTGGTCGGTGAAGATGATGCAGCGGGTGACCAATAGGAATACCCTTTCCCTCTCACCTAATCGCGCTGTGATTGGTTGAAAATATAATTCTTGACCCTGAGTCTCAGTTCTTACTAGTACGCGGCCCTTGTGTGATCATCCTGCAAGAGTGTGCTTTGCTCTCTGTTTCAGTTCATTGATTGACGATAGGGATTACAGTAGGTGCCGTCGTGTAGGGTTTTGTGTGGTTGTGTTATGCGTGGTTCTCAAACAACTGTGATGAATATAAATGTAACGTTTGACTATTCTAACGTTGTTTCACCGTTTTTTATACAGACACAATGCTCTTTTCGCTGTACACTCTCTTGAAACTGGTTAACCATTATAGTGGTTATCAGTGACTATAATCCCAT